CTTAAGACCAGTGACGCCACAGAGAGATGACGGTATTCGAACTGAGCCACCTCCATCACCACCAAGAGCAATAGGACAGAGACCAGAGGCAACAGCAGCTGCTGATCCAGAGGAACTCCCTCCACAGTAACACTTATCATCATATGGGTTTCTTGCAGACAAATACTCCTTGTGGGGATTGGAACCAAAAACTCCGATACCAAATTCTTGCATATTAGTGATACCAATCATAATAGCACCTGCTTCCACGAGCCTCTTAGCTATGACCGAGCTCTCCTTTATATCGGAACAGACCGACTTAAATGTAGCACCAGCTCTAAATGAGAACGAATCAAACTTGTACTCGCCTTTTATTGCAATAGGAACACCATCCAGCAACGATAGGGGCTTCCCCTTTTTCCATCTTTCAGTCGATTCTTCGGCCATTTTCATTGTGAGCTCGTCATTAGTTTCAATGAATGCCCTCAATGGAGGCGAACGAGAATTAGAAGCTCTAACACACTCGAGGACTACTCTAGCTACATCCACTGGTTCAATACTACCAGACTTATACGCAGCCCAATAATCCAATGAAGATATGCGTTCATTAGTTGAAACGTACTTCCGAGCAATGCCCTCTAGTACTTTTATGTTAGACTGTTCAATTTCTTTGTCTCTGACTGGAGGGGATACTGGAGGATAGAGTGTTGGTGTTTCTGGTATGTACTCGCCGTCAAGGAGATCCAGGTTGCTGTTTCGCTTCAGATGAGGTATTACGATATTTCCAAGTCTTGTGAATCCACCGAGCCTTACCAGCCATCTAAAAGGGTAGCCGGTCAGTATGGGGGCCGACAAACCCTTGAGCTCGTATTTGATGTTTGGTTTATTGGCAGGGTCTAGGAGCTGTTCCACGGGCTCTCTAACCTTTCCTGCTCTCTTTCCTGTACATACTGGCCTCCTAGAGGTGACATAAAAGAAAAGAGAGAGGAATATAAGGCCAACAGCAATTAAACTGGTGAACACCATGTCTTGAATGGGCGGAGCAAATTATTTTTGGCCGCACCCATCAAACATGACTTGCATTCAAAAATTAGCGGGAAATTTAGAGAATTTTAGGTTTTATTTTTGAAGAAAGGTATCCCTCAGGAAATATGTATAATGTGCATGTAAGGTATGTCTAGATCTAGTTTAATTTGCATTTTAGTATATAGATTAGCTCTAGTAAGAGAAAACTGCAATAATTTATTAGGTCTGACAATTAACAAGAATCAATATACCACTATTAAAAGTAATTGATAATCAAAACATGTGTGCGTTGTAATACGTCTTTTATCGACAATAGACAATGTGACTTCCTGTACATATGTCACTCATTAAGTGGAGGATAAAACAGCACCTCCTAATAATTGTAGGCATGAGCCAATCAATTGTATACATCAAAAGGTAATAATATTACTGTATACACGTTATAATGTTGTGTACCTAGTTTGAGCTGATTTCAATCAAATTAAATTTTTATGAATTTTTACACTTGCTCCAAAAAACCATCAGAAATGGCTAGAAGAGAATTCTTTGTTCCTATTATTTTTCCTGATACATATACATGCTCTTATGTTGGGTAGAAGTTTAAGCTTGTTTTGATCAAAATTAAATTTTTTATGAATTTTTAAAGTTGATCCAAAATAGGGCCAAAGCCCCTGTACAGGCCAATTTTCACCAAAAGTGGCCAGGCAGAGTTCTAAATTTTTATAATTTTTTATGATACATATACATGTATTAATGTTGTGTAGACTGATTCCATTCAAAATTGGATTTTTTATAAATTTTTACGCAGCATGCTTCATTAGAAACTTTGGTGACAAATGATAATATGTTATTTATTCTATGACACAACCAGGACTTCTGCAGTTCAATAGCAGTTCCTATCCCTCAAACAAGCAGCTTCTTATTTTTTAAAGCAAGCACATGACAGCTCAGTTGCATTAAGACAATGAGATTTAGGCTAAACTAGGATCCAATTTTAACTTTGATACATTCCTTGAATTGAAAACTTACAACATGTAGTAAAAATTCCTTCAAAAAGTTAATAATAAAATAATTATAGACAACTATTAAAGCAACATTGCAGAAACTATTAAAAACTAATACAATGTGGAGAATATCAATAGTAAAATAATATGTGATGATGAATGATAGCAACAAGAATCCTTTTCAATATATTCATGTTTGACTTGGAGTTGGAAGTGAATATTGTAACTTCTTCATTTGAGTGTAGACAAAATTCTTGAAAGATTTTAGAGAATCCACTATGTCTGGTCTGAAGTATGATTGGATCAATGGTGTTGCTATTATACTGAACTGAAATACAAATACACCAGTAGCATATACTTCATGAGGAAATGTAACTCCAAGACTTACAATGCCTATTGTGAAAGATACTCCATAGCATATTCCATAGGCAAGAAGCATTGATCCAAATATTCCAAAAAGTTTCATTTTCTTCAAGTGATAGACATTTTCCCCTGCTATTGCTGATTGATCACGAATAAACCTACGAGTGAAACAGAACGTCCAGATTGATGTAACTATAATGACAATGATGAAGATTAGCACAGTTGCTATATAGAATAATACAAATGCTATATTCTTTTTAAATGTGATGTAACAAGGTCCATATTCAAAGTGATAATCATACTCTCCAAAACCAAGTGATGGCAGTATAAATATGAGAGCTACAATAAGCCATAGAGCAACTGTGATTATCAGTGTTACCCATGGTTTCATGAACCTCTTGTAGAAATGTGGTTTAACAATAAAGAGGCATTTATCAAATGATATAGCAGCTAGTACTGCTACAGTGATAAAGATGATGAACCAGTTAATGATTCCCGAGAACACGCAAGTTGCTCTTCTCACTTCAAAGGTGCTTCCAAATATCCATTCTTCAGCTCCTGTAGCAACTGTGGTCATTGGAAGGTATACCAATGCATCCAAGAGATTTGATAAAATGAGAGAAGTGAAGAATATTGTTGACGGTTGTCTAAAGGACTTTCTTTGATATAGTGTGATGGAGAGTACAATGATATTAGCAATAAAACCCACCACTGCTTCAACAGCAAATACTGCAGCTAGTACTGGACCATTGATACTACCAGTAGCAGTAAAATTGTCAAGATCTGTAGCAGTGAAATTGTAATCCATTACTGTATAAGAGGCTAAGCTAGCACAACTTCTTTTAGTCTATCTTAAGACTGAATAATTATGTGCTTGTTATAGCTATTATTATGTTCTGTAGAAAGAGGATGTTTTTCTATATTGACACATTGAAGCTTCTTTTGCTAAATGTAAGATTTCTTCATACCCATCAGTCAAAGCTATTAGACTTGCTTTATATTCAAACTCAAAGTTATTGTCAAAAGTACAAATTAAAGTTCATTGGAAGTTAGCATAAGAAAAGAAATGCATACAAGTTTTAACAAAATCAGCATACACAAATTTTATTTAATTTCAATACATGATTTTTTGAACATAATTCACATAAAATACATATTGGCCAGTAATTGTTAGCAAAAAAATAATTAAAAAAATAGTACTAAATTTTACATCACTATAGACAATTTTTCAATAACATCAAAAATATTTAGTGCAGCAACGAGTCTCAACAAAAAATTAAAATTGTTTTAAAATTTATGTTGGGTTTGGAGGCGAATGGGACTTGGAGGTGAATATCTTTGCCTCTTTATTTGAGTGTAGACAAAATTCTTGAAAGATTTCAGAGAATCCACTATGTCTGGTCTGAAGTATGATTGGATCAATGGTGTCGCTATTATACTGAACTGAAAGACAAACATGCCTGTAGCATATACTTCATGAGGAAATGTAACTGCAGCACTTATAATGCCTATTGTGATAGATACTCCATAGCATATTACATAGGCAAGAAGCATTGATCCAAATATTCCGAAAAGTTTCATTTTTTTCACATGATAAACACTTTCCCCTGCTATTGCTGATTGATCACGAATAAACCTACGAGTGAAACAGAATGTCCAGATTGATGTGACTATAATGACAATGATAAAGGTGAACAGTGTCGCAAAACGGAATATTACAAACCCCATGTTATTTTCAAACGTGATGTAACAAGGGCCATAGTCAAATTGATATCCATACTCTCCAAAGCCAACAAATGGCAGCATCATTATTAAAGCAATGATCATCCATGGAATAACTGCGATTATTAGTGCTACCCATGGTTTCATGAACCTCTTGTAAAAATATGGTTTAACAATAAAGAGACATCTATCGAATGATATAGCTGCTAGTACTGCTACAGTGACATAAAGAATAAACCAAAAAATAACTCCTGAGAACAAGCAAGTTGCTTTTCTTTGCTCAAAGGTGCTTCCAAATATCCATTCTTCAGCTCCTGTAGCAACTGTGGTCATTGGAAGGTATACCAATGCATCCAAGAGATTTGATAAAATGAGAGAAGTGAAGAATATTGTCGACGGTTGTTTAAAGGGCTTTCTTTGATATAGTGTGATGGAGAGTACAATGATATTAGCAATAAAACCCACCACTGCTTCAAGAGCAAATACTGCAGCTAGTACTGGACCATTGATACTACCAGTAGCAGTGAAGTTGTCAAGATCTGTAGCAGTGAAATTGTAATCCATTACTGTATAAGAGGGTAAGCTAGCACAACTTTTGTAGCCTATCTTAGAACTGAGTAATTATATTTTTGTTAGCTGTTATTTATGTTCTGTAAAAAGAGGATGTAGTTGTATATTAACACATTTAAGCTTCTTCTGCTAAATGTAAGATTTCTTCATGCCCACACTTGTTTTATGTTCAAAAAGATCATTAAGAGTACAATTTAAAGTTCATTGAAAGTTAATATAATAAAACAAAGACATAAGGATAGTAATAAATTTATAGGTTTAAACATGAACAAATTTAATTTTAATTTCAATACTTGATTCAACTAATACAAGATGCATATTGGCCTATGAATTGTTAACAAAAAATTTCTAAGAAATAGTACTAAATTTTACATCACTATAGACAATAACATGAAAAATATTCAATTTAGCAATGAGTCTCAATGAGAAATTTAAAATTTATGTTGGACTTGGAGTTGGAGGTGAATATTGTAACTTCTTCATTTGAGTGTAGACAGAATTCTTGAAAGATTTCAGAGAATTCACTATGTCTGGTCTGAAGTATGACTGGATCAATGGTGTTGCTATGATATTCAATTGAAGTATAAACACGCCTGTAGCATGTACTTCTTCAGAAAATGTAACTGTAAGACTTATAATGCCTATTGTGAAAGATGCTCCATAGCATGTTCCATAGGCAAGAAGCATTGATCCAAATATTCCAAAAAGTTTCATTTTCTTCAAGTGATAGACATTTTCCCCTGCTATTGCTGATTGATCACGTATAAACCTACGAGTGAAACAGAATGTCCAGATTGATGTGACTATAATCACAATGATAAAGATGAACAGTGTCGCAAAACGGAATATTACAAATACCATATTTTTTTCAAATGTGGCGTAACAAGGTCCATATGCAAAATGATATCCATATTCTCCAAAACCAACTAGTGGCAGTATCATTATAAGAGTAGTAATCATCCATGGAATAACTGTGATTATTAGTGCTACCCATGGTTTCATGAACCTCTTGTAAAAATATGGTTTAACAATAAAGAGACATTTATCAAATGATATAGCAGCTAGCATTGCTGCAGTGACATAAAGAATAAACCAAAAAATAATTCCAGAGAACACGCAAGTTGCTTTTTTCTGCTCAAAGGTGCTTCCAAATATCCATTCTTCAGCTCCTGTAGCAACTGTGGTCATTGGAAGGTATACCAATGCATCCAAGAGATTTGATAAAATGAGAGAAGTGAAGAATATTGTTGACGGTTGTCTAAAGGACTTTCTTTGATATAGTGTGATGGAGAGTACAATGATATTAGCAATGAAACCTACCACTGCTTCAACAGCAAATACTGCAGCTAGTACTGGACCATTGACACTTCCAGTAGCAGTGAAATTGTCAAAATCTATAGCAGGAAAATTGTAATCCATTACTGTATAAGAGGGTAAGCTAGCAAAACTTCTATTAAAGACTGAATAACAATGTTTTTGTTAGCTATTAGATCTATATGTTCCGTAAAAAGAGGATGTTGTTCCATTTTGACACATTGAAGCCTCTTGTAAGATTTCTTCACAAAATTTTAGCTCTTGTGAACTTGACCATTATAAACGGACACTTTCTTAGATACATTATAGATATCCTGTTTCTATTTGAACCAAAAAATTACACACAATTTTTATTGAAGTTTGTTAGGCAAACTGAAAATTAATTGGCTATTCCGGAAGTTTTGAGGATGGGAGAGGTCTTACCGTCTTTATCACAGCACATAGATATAGTCAGGCGGGCACAGAGAAGGACTGTAAAGGCCTAGCTTACCCATTGAGGCTAATAAGATTTGGACGGAGGCTGGAGGCAGGCAATGGCAGACAAGTCAAAAGGTGCAAGTAAAGCTGAAGACTTTGGATCATGGGCTGGGGATTCAGATCCAGACATCATCATGGAAGTACTCACACTAGCCCTAAAGAATAAACGTTATAAAGAGGCCATTCCCTCGCTGCAGTGCTTGATAGAAGTGGACTATCATAAGGCACTGAGCTTCACATTAAACAACCACTTTCATCTTAATATAGCTTTTCTTCATCATGCTGTTGAAGGTAATCATGTTGATGTAGTGAGATTCCTTATCGATGAGTGTGGCTGTAATCCAACAGACTTTAATCAAGGGATAAATAAAAGTAGCTGTAAAAATTCTTATGATATCACTGTTGAATATGAATCACTTGATGTGTTGAAATATTTAATCAAGAATCACAAGCCAACTTGTGTTGCCATTGAGAAACTTTTTTCTAAAGCTGTCAACCATGTTAGCAGTTTAAAGTGCCTCGTTAATGGAGGTATCATTGATCCAATGGTTAGATATAATTTCTATGGCACAATACTTCATTGGGCAGCTAGTGAAGGCTCAGTTGATGCCCTCAAATATTTAGTTAATGAATGTAAGTGTGATCCAATGAACAATGATAGAGGTATTAAGTTGACGCCTCTTCACTTAGCTACATTTAAAGGTCGACCAGAAGCTATAGAATTCTTATTATCAACAGGTAAATGTGATCCGATGGCTAAAGATGAAGATGGTAACACACCATTAGATTTTACTGAAGGGAATATTAAAACTTGTTCTATTTTCAAAAAGTTTGGTCAGATCAAGACATCGTTTCCAGTCGATTCCTATGTTAACGTCCTCCTTGTGGGCAATCCTGGAGCTGGTAAAAGTACTTTAAATCATGTCATCATTGACACAGCTACTGGCTCAATTGTTCTTGGTTCCTTTAGAAACGTTGGAGGGGTAGTGCCTTGTACTGCTGGCATCATTCCTTATAAACTACAACACAGGACACTGGGTAACATCATTCTTCATGATTTTGCTGGTCATTCAGAATACTACTCTAGTCATAGTGCTGTCATTGAGAATCTGTTACAAGGTTCTGGTGGTGTGTTCCTGATAGTAGTCAATATATTGGAGAAGGAAGCAGTCAAACAGCTTCATCAATGGCTAACAGTTGTGAGGAATGAAGCACAAAAAACTCTTAATCAATGCCATACTATTGTAGTAGTAAGCCATGTGGATGAGATACATGATTCTGTTCAAAGGAGGAGAAAGGAAGAAATACAGGAGATTATTGTAAGGGAAAGGTGTGTTTACGTCTTCTTAGATTGTCGTAAGCTTGGTGGGAGTAGTGTAGTTTCCTTTTTTAAAAAGTTGTCCAGTGCCTGTCAGTTCATTCGTAATACAAATGAAAGGAACTTGAGTCTTTATTGTCACATGACGTACGGTCTACTGGAGGAAAGGAAAGGAAACATACTCACCCTTTCTGATGTATGGTCTGCAGCTGAGGATACCAATAGTTATGTCATACCAGATAATAGGGAAGAAATTCTTGAAGTTCTTCATGCGTTGCACTCAACTGGTTTAATCAGTGTTTTGAAACATGAACACAAGACATGGGTTGTTGTGAATAAGGGTATACTACTAACTGAGGTGAATGGGATTCTCTTCGCTCCAGAGATATTCAAACAGCATGTCAACATTGCTAGCAATACTGGTATTGTTAGTGTGTCTGGTCTGACTAGACTCTTCCCTAAATATGATCCTGACATGTTGATCTGTTTTCTAAAGAACATGGAACTATGTCAAGAAATACATCCATCTTTTTTAAAGCTAACAAACCTCCATCAGATAGGAACAAAGGAGAAAAAGGGAGGGACAAGAAGGTTGCTGTACTTTCCTTGTCTCCTAAACATGAAGAGACCTAGGGAGATGACTAATCAGGTGTATCAGTTTGGTTGGTGTCTACAATGTACCAATAAACATCATTTCTTTCCTCCAAGATACTTCCATGTCCTCTCATTACATCTTGCTCTTAAATTGGCTCTACCTCAAGAAGATGACAAGTTAAATCGTCGTTGCACGTTTTGGAGAAATGGTCTTTACTGGTTTAATGGCCATGGTGTAGGATCACTTGTAGAGATTGTGGATGAGAGCCAGTGTGTACTAGTAATGATGTCCTGTGAGAAAGGTTGCAGTGACAATATGGTATCTCTAAGAAGAGATGTGATAGGAGAGGTAATGAGTGTTCAAAAAGAGTCCTGTCCCACTCTAGAGGTAAAAGATTTAGTTATTGATCCTAAGGATCTAGCCTATCCTATGAAAACACCAAGAGGAAGGACAATGTATAGCGTAAAAGATATACTGTCTGCTATTGAAAAGGGAGAAGAGTTTGTAGTAAAGTCTAATGGTACTAAAGGTGAAAAGGTGAAGGAGATCCTACCTTATGAATCATTATCAGATATTAGGAATATATCTCTATTAGGAGATGATATTGATGAGGTAACTGACATCAGTTATTACAAACATTCCTAAATGTTTATTATTTTTCATAGGTAGATGGAGTGTGGGTGAAATGTAAAAGTAAAAGAATAACAACCATTAATTGTCACTCAACAACAACTTTAGGTGAGAATACTAAGAGAAATAGTTGGCAAAGAAGTACCTTAATAATGGAAGAAATTGGTGGTAAGATAATTTATTGTGAAAGTGTATGATATTTTATTGTTGCTTTAGTATAGTAAGTCAGTTTATAGTAAAGGTATTTGTAGTTTCTTTTCTCTTGACTTTTAGTTTCAGTTATTGTTATGCCATTTTGTTTATTGTTATCAATTCTAAACGTAACTGTATATCCCCAATATTTTGTTTATTCTAAAAGTTTGTCATTAAACAATACTTAGTAAAAAGAAAATAGTCATGCTATGTTATATAACTTAGCATGTGATGCTGTGATGTATCATTATGGCAGTATCCAATGACTCATACTCAGGCTGATGAAAATGCCAAATTTTATTAAAAAAATCAGTGGAGTGTTGCTAATATAAACATGGAGCATGTTCAAATTTTAATTTTATTTTTTGCATCAGTTTATAGTTGCTATGTAATGTACATGCATCACTTTTGTTAACATGCATGGCATGTAATATTCAACAAGTATTATTATTTGTAGATATTCAGATCATTGAATTAGAAGATGCTTATTCTGATGTACTTGGTAAGATAGAAACAAATCATCACTTATTACTGATCAATACATGATACATCCACACAGATATTACAGATCTTGCTAAAGTCCTTCAAGAATTAGAGTCAAATCAACAGTTTGATTACACTGATTGGTATCACTTGGGCCTATACTTAGGATTATATGAGCGTACACTAAAAGCAATAGAAGAGGATAATAGAGGGAGATCAAAGAAGTGTCTAATTGAGTGTATATCTTGCTGGCTAAAGGGAAAGGATGGAGTAAGAGAGACAAGAGGAGGTGGATCAAACTGGATATCATTAGTAGCAGCACTAGATGCAATGGGAGCAAGGAAAGTTGCTAAAAACATTAGAATGAAGTATTTCTAATTATTATCCAAACTTCATATTTGTGGCTTTACAGTATGTACAATTTTTTATAACTTTTTAATTTCAGTAATAAAAGAATTTGTTATACCTATTGTAATTGTTTGAGACCTTTTCTTAGCCATTTTGTTCAAAGATCTGCCACCGATAAGAGAATTAGTGTCTCATATTGTATTATCCATCTCCATCATACCCATCTAACTTTGTACTATTAAATTCTGTATTAACTTGACCGTATCCTGTACAGTACTGAAGTGCATGGCCTAACTGTGGTTGTGCATCTCTTTAAGATCAATAATAGGATGTCATGTATAATTATTAATGTACTAAGACTCGGTTTTCCTAAATTTGGTTTTTATAAAGTTTAATTAATCCATTGACACACAACCTCCTTGAGTCTCTCATCTCCTCCTTCAGTAATGTACTGAGGGTACTTGCACATGAATATCTTCTATCATTAAAAGTAGTTACAATAAAGAAAGCAGCTTCCTTTTCCACACTAAGATCAAAACCATAACCATACCTTAATTCATGCTCACATTGGTGTAATTCATCTCAAAGTGACTATGCAAGGCTGTGGTATAACTATTTTAACTAACTGTGCTTTAAACCTGGTTTACACTTACCACAAAATGCAACAGAAACAATTAACCGCAAAATGCCAATTTTATGTCACCTTCAAAGAGTTATTGCAACAGATCGCCTACACAATTTTGACCGTTACATTATGATCAAAGTTACTAAAAAATGGCAGAAACATTAAGTCAAAAATAATTCATTATATTAGATAATACAAATACTTTATTCTGATATTATTAGCAACCTCTGTCTCTCCCATTGCATCTAGTGCTGCTACTAATGATATCCAGTTTGATCCACCTCCTCTTGTCTCTCTTACTCCATCCTTTCCCTTTAGCCAGCAAGATATACACTCAATTAGACACTTCTTTAACTTTCCTCTGCATTCATCTTCTATTGCTTTTAGTGTACGCTCATATAATCCTAAGTACAAACCCAACTGATACCAATCAGTGTAATCAAATTGTTGATTTGATGTTAATTCTTGAATAACTTTAGCAAGATCTGTAATATCTGGGTGTATCATAATAATAAGAACATTATAGCTATAATCTTTTAAGTCTTACCAAGCAGTTTATTAATGAGTGTTTCTTTTACTTCATCAGTGATTTCATGTACTTCTAGATAAATGATACTAATGACATACATGTACATGTTTAATTGTTACTTGTTCATACCAAGCAGTTTATCAGTTTGTGTTTCTTGTACTTCAATACCCTTTTCATCATGTACATCAGTACCTACAATGTAATAAAACCAAGGCATTCTTAGTTAGTGAGTATCAGGAAGGTAATACCTGAAGCTAGGTATATAATACAATATGTACCCTAACTTTACCCATTGCAAAATTATAAACGTAGTTTAGTTTGGGGCTATTGCGTACTGGTAAATACATGTATGTAGTGTATATACTTTACCAAACTGTCCATCACTATGATGCTTCGAAGTACTCCCATGCTCCTCTTTTTTCTTGGTTTTGGTTGACTTTAATCCTTCATCTGCCTACACACATTACAATAATTATAATAATTATATAATATGCATAATGCACGTAAGTACCTCAATATTATGTCCTCCTAATAGAGATATATCATTAATATCTAATAATGATTCACATGGTAAGATCTCCGTAACTTCTTTACAGCTAGTACCAGTAGCATTTACTAAAAACTCTTCTCGCTTTTCAATAACAGACAGTATATCTTTTACGCTATACACTGTCCTTTCTCTTGGTGTATTCACAGGATAGGCTAGATCTTTAGGATCAATAACTAACTCTTTTACCTCTAGAGCGGGACAGGATTCTTTATAAACACTCATTACCTCTCCTATCACGTCTCTTCTTAGAGACACCATATTGTCACTGTAACCTTTCTTACAGGACATCATTACTAGTACACACTGGCTCTCATCCACAGTTTCTACCAGTGATCCTACACCATGACCATTAAACCAGTAAAGACCATTTCTCCAAAGCGTGCAACGACGATTTAACTTATCATCTTCTTGGGGTAGAGCCAATTTAAAGGCAAGATGTAATGAGAGGACATGGAAGTATCGAGGAGGAAAGAAATGATGTTTATCGGTACACTGTAGACACCAACCAAACTGGTACACCTGATTAGTCATCTCCTTAGGTCTATCACTAGACAAAAGACATGGAAAATACAGCAACCTTTCAGTCTGTTCTTTACTTGTTTCTACATCCTCTACTGCTAACTGATGAAGGTTTGTTAGTTTAAGGAAAGATGGATGTATTTCTTGACATAGTTCCATGTTCTTTAGGAAACAGATCAACATGTCAGGATCATATTTAGGGAACAGTCTAGTTAGACCAGACACACTAACAATACCAGTATTGCTAGCAATGTTAATGTGCTCTTTGAATGTCTCTGGAGCAAAGAGAATCCCATTCACCTCAGTTAGTAGAATACCCTTATTCAAAATAACCCATACCTTGTCTTCACTTTTAAGAATACTGATCAAACCAGTTAAATGCAATGAATGAAGAAGCTCAGCAACTTCATCCTTATCATTTGGTAATACGTAGTTGTCACAGTGTTTAGATGCATAAAAGCTAGAGTTAGTATATTCTAGAGTTAGTATATTCTCTTTTCTTTCCTCCAGTAGACCGTACATCATGTGACAATAAAGACTCAAGTTCCTTCCACTTTTATTACGAATGGACTCACAGGCACTAGATAACTTATTAAAGAAGGAACCCATACCATCCCCACCAAGCTTACGACAATCTAAGAGGACACTATCACACATTTCCCTCATAATAATCTCCCGTATTTCTTCCTTTCTCCTCCTTTGAACAGAATCATGTATCTCATCCACATGGCTGACTACTACAATGGTATGGCATTGATGAAGAGTTTTTTGTGCTTCATTCCTCACAACTGTTAGCCACCGATGAAGCTGTTTGACTGCTTCCTTCTCCAATATATTGACTACTATCAGGAACACACCACCAGAACCTTGTAACAGATTTTCGATGACAGCACTATGACTAGAGTAGTATTCTGAATGACCAGCGAAATCATGAAGAATGATGTTACCCAGTGTCCTGTGTTGTAGTTTATAAGGAATGATGCCAGCAGTACATGGCACTACCCCTCCAACATTTCTTAATGAACCGAGAAGGGTAAAACTAGCAGTGTGATTGACAACATGACTAAGAGAACTTTTACCAGCTCCAGGATTACCAACAAAGAGGACGTTAACATAAGAATCAACTGGATGAGACATTTTAATCCGACCAAACTTTTTAAAAATAGAGCGAGTTTCAATATTCCCATAACAAAATGGTGTTCTACCTTCTTCATCTTTAGCCAATAGATCACATTTACCAGTTGATAGTAAAAACTCAACATTTTTTGATTGTTGTGCAATTGCAGCCCAGTGTAGAGTTGTCCACCCATAAACATTATCAGATCTATACATTGGATCACAGTTATAGTCATAAATTAAATATTTAAGTACATCAACTGAGCCTTCCCTAGCTGCATAATGAAGTAATGTTAAGTTACCATATCTCTTTGAGGGATCGATGTCACAGTCATTTATGAGGCACTTTAAAGTATCAATGTGCTGGACAATTTTACAAGGAAGGCTAGTAAGACTGAAGTCAGTAGGTCTGCTACATGGACTGAGTAAATATTTCAATACATCAAATGACTCACATTCAACTGCAATGATATAAGAATTCATCCTCTGGTATTTAATGAAGTCCCTTGGATCCCAGCCACACTCATCAATGAGATATCTCACCACATCAACATGGTTACCTTGTACAGCATAATGGAGAAAAGTAAGCCCTCGGAAATCATACTTGAGTGGATATTTTGTGAGTTGTGGAAGTTGTTCCAAGGGCAATGTCTTAGCCTTACTATCTGGTTTTATCAAATTCTGGAGCAAGGGGATAGCTTTTTGATAATGCTTATCCTCAAGAGCTAGGTTAAGCTGCTCAACGACATAGCTAAGGGCCTCTGCTTCATTTGAGGAGCTTGCTTCTTCAGCCATTGCCTCGGCCATTGCGTTTTCTCCGAGGTTTCTTCCTTCCATCATAGAGTTGCTACAGCTATGCCTCCTAATTAATTAAAGGAGGAATAACCACACCCACAAAAGCATGGTAGAGATATAGACTACGCGAGAGACTACGTCATGTACGTGTGTATGAAGAGAGGTGTACAGGTAAAGTTCATGAAGTTTTGTATGAAATACAATTATAGTTATGTTAGGAGATGAGGAGCCATTCTTCAGCAAAGAAATTCCATCAAAAGGAAGCTTGAACACTTGTCAGTCGAGTCGCTCATATAGATCACGTGAGTTCATCGGGCTTCCTGTATCCGCCATTCCCACTAATTTTAATTTCCCACTAAGGTGTTACTCTCCTCAACAGAGGAGGCAACAAATTAAAAGAAGAAGAAGATAAATGTAGCTATGGTGACAGCACCAAGATGATATCGACATTATACAGACGTGAAATATGAAGAAGAGACAAACCTCTCCCACTACAGACAAGGGCAGACAGAGCGAACGTCATCATGATGACCCATAGATACTATAGACACCAAGTGGATTATGAAACCAGAAATGGATTGTACATGAAGAGACGACGAGGGTAGACACCATGGTTGATCAGTTGAACACAAATCAAAGAGAAAGAGCTGGAAAGATAGATAAATAAATGACTGATGCAGCTGTGCATAGGTCTCGAGCCACCAGATGATACAAATCACATTGTTAGTCGATTTCTCCAGCTTAACTTAACAAAATTATCAGTTGCTAGATAAGTTTCAGTTGTGTTGGAAAACCACTAATAAAGCTCAAGCAAATCTTATAATTTGTCTGATATATATTATCAAAATATTTCTTGATGGACCACATCCAATAAACTTCACCCATTTTTATAACAAATGAGCATATCCAGTGATTGGGCAGTGAATTCAGATAGATTGGGAATTAGAAAGTGGGTGTATTGGCAATGATAAGCAAAATAATAGCAAAATTCCTATGAAGAAGTAAGATAAGGTGTGATTGAGGTGTGGATTGTTTATTCTGGTCCTTTTACCTACTAAATTTGTGAACCACATTACAATCATATTACAGCCTTAATACCACCCAAGTATTCATTATAGTATAGTAGAGAGTATAGTTATGTGTGATTATTATCTTGGACAGGTGCATTCACTCTCATTGTTTTTAGAATTCATTATTATCAAGTCAAGAGAAAAATATTACTGTATACCGAAGGGAGAAAAGTCAGAAAACTGAGTATGAAACAATAATTAAATTAACTATATTCAAAGTTTAATCTTTTTTTATTTTGTTTTGAGCATCTTTTGGTGTTATTGTTTCTTCGATAACTTTTATTGGCTTGATTTCATTCAGAACTGATTTGCTAGATATACCAAGAGAGAGCCATTGAGCATAGAGTGTGATTGCTTGTTTTTGAAACGAAGGAGCTGCCACTGCTGCCTTATCTGTAACTCTCTTCTTTAGATCAGCACAGTTGTTGCTTACATCTTCCCATGCTGTACTGAAAGTCTGAAGTGTAACTGTAAGACCGTTGTAATTACAAATAATGTCCTGAAGACCTTGAGCTATATTTTCATTAGATTTTATCTTCTCTCTTGCCTCATTTAATTTGTTTGCTAGTTGTTGCAATTGTGAAAATGCTCTTGCTGCCTTTTGCTGTTGCTCTCTAGCTCGTGCTAAATGATGTTCTGCTTCACGTCTATGAAACCTTTCTTTTATTTCGTACTCCTCTACCAGGTTCCAATTAATAGCTCTTGCTAATGTGCATATTAAAAATTTCCATCCTTCACATTTTTCCTCCTTCTTTCTTTTCTCATGGTCAGCATTGTATCTTGCCTGGTCAGCTTGTCTTTGAGATTCAGCAGCTGCAGCTTGAGCATTTCTTAAGTCAGTTTCAGTGCGTGCCTTTTGAGCTTGTAATCTTTGTTCTTGTTTCTCTATTTCATTCTTTTTGTTCTTTAGTTCACCTCTACTGCTATATATTTCTTTCAATAGTGAGGACACTTTGTCACGACCAGTGCTGGCTTGCAACTCAATATCTCTGGCTTCTTTTGCAAGATCATTTGCTAGGCTGCCAACTTCATCCAACAATATAATGTGTGCTTCACCTTCCCTATCATCAGAAATATGCTCAAATGCAACATGCAATTTTTTCAAAGCCTCGTTTGATTTCTCCTCGAATTTTTGAAAGGTCAAAATGGTGGCAACCTGAAGCGAAATAATATCATTACGGATGGACTGTGCTTTATCCTTGAATTCTGTCTTGTATGCCACTGCAGTGTAAAAACCCATGTTAGCACCTATCCCCAAATCATTAAAAGTGTTTGTAAGTGCTTTGTCATCAATCCATCCAGTCCATGGTACTAGATAGACTAGGCTAGAATCTTTTGTTGGCAGGTTTGTTAGTGAATACTCTGTACATCAGATAAAATTAATTAAGAAATAAATAATTATTTTTGTGGACTTACTGATATCTCCAACAATAGCAGCACAGTAAATCATGAAAAATGCTATCCTGTATTTGACATGGATCATTTTTGTGTATTAGATTCTTATATCTATATGCCTAGATCTAGATATTCGAGTAATTAGAGCATGATTTTTTAGCCTAGAGAAAGATCACTGTGATGCCGACTGGATTGTGTCGATTGTGTGTTTTATTTCTGCTGTGCAGTGTTCTTTCATGTAAGTTAATTTATTTTTGACTCGTCGGTGTTTTAGGTGCTATATTTTAATGTCCTGGAGTTTAGATTTTACTTTCATTGTTGCTAGCTGTCAATAAAGCTGCCTCTACGGTCCCTTGCCTTTGCTGTGTTCAAGTGATACTTGTTCTTTTTCCCTATTCACTCTCTAATTATGTTGTTTTTTTTTTCCTTATAGCAGAAGAATCTAAAGCATTTAGATGTAGATCTATCTAGGGGCGAGCCTATAGAGCTGTTGCAGGGATGTAATCAACGGGGTAGGCGAGGCTTCCTGTCGGCCATCTTGAGTGGCAAGAATGTACACGCAACGAATGGAGGAATGGAAACAAACTGCGATTTTTCATCAAAGAGATATCATACTTCACTGCAGAATATTATAGAGACTTCTTTACTCAATATCTTCATCTCCTACCTTGCATTAGCCTGGAATGTCAACTGCAGAATTTATTTAATTTTTTTTCTCCATTCCCCCATTCATTCTTAGCCTTCTTGCCACCCAACATGGCGGACAATTTAGCTCAATTTTAGCCACACCCTCCCGTTGATTACTTCCGTGCAACAGCTCTATAATTTTAGGAAGTGGATATTGGTCCGGCAGCCGGACGCCTACTTCAGGGCTATTGATCCGGCAGTCCGTTGTTCTCCGTAAAACAGCTTGTTCGCATGCGCAATAGTGCAAAATGGAACTTAGTCTTTTTATCAAGAAACCCTAATCCCAAAACCCTACAATCCCGGAGGCTAAGATGTACGAGAGGGTGCTCTAAAAACTAAACACTAAACCCCAATCCCAACCCTACGACCCCGGAGGCTAAGATGTACGAGAGGGTGTTTATTTTTAAAAAAGTAAAAAAAGTGATTTAAAAAGAAAAAAAAAATCAAACATTGAAGCATAGTTTCAGTCAATAGTCCCAACAGGATTCGAACCACTGACCCCATCCGTGCAATCCAGACCAGCCTCTCCACTGCACCACCGCAACCCTGCTGTATCATTGTTGCTGATTGTCGTATTTATACTTGATATCTGTATATAAAATCGTGTATTAGTATACTGGGGCCGGCTTCGCCCCAGTATACTATATAGGGACTGCCGGACCAATAGCCCTGAAATAGGCGTCCGGCTGCCGGACCAATATCCACTTCCATAATTTTAAACCACACGTATCTCCAATTATAGCCTTGCAAAAATGCAAAAAAAATTCTCAATCACTATGACAGTTGGCAAAGTGTTCAAAGGTCTAAGACTATTAAAGAAGAGGGAGGAATTAGCTAGGAACTTATTATTAACCAAAATTTTTGTGGCTCAAAATTCATTCTGTGGCAGACTTTAATTTACTTTTTGGCCACCTTAAACGTGTTAAATTTTCACAATTTTTAGGAAATATTAATTTTTCAATGTTTTAATTTCGCATTTTTTTAAAGCCCTATAAGGTGGTCGTGTTGAAGATTTTTTCGAGTTAATAATTATTGCTTACAGTAAAATATTGAAAATTAATTCCATGAAATTTTGTACCCATACTGTATTTTAGCATGTATGATTAGGTCATTACCTTATTTGTTATAAGCATAGGTGAGACAGTATAGCTCAGTACTACATGTATGTATAGCTCCAAATTTTTGTCAGTCAAAAAATTTGTCAAAATCTTAATTAATTTTTTTCATTTCTGTTATAAAAAAATCAACATACTCACATGGAGTGAAAGCTTTGTTAGTTAAAAATTTTGTCAAATAATAGTGCCTACCGTGATGATAAGTTTTAACGAAATTTTTGACTGACAAAAATTTGGAGCTATATGGTATAGCAATCCATGTTGCATATGGTATAGCAATGCATGTTGTATTTATTTTTAAGCTATGTGTTTGCAAATTCTTTTAAGCACTTCACTACAATTAATTATTATTTTTGTTGACTAACTGCAAATATAATATTTTTGTTATAATAGACATAGTGGCCAACAGTGAAAGCACAAAAAGACCATGTGATGTAACAATTGGTCAGGAGTCATACTCTGTATTGGAAAAACCTCCAATTCATTCACTGCTAGTTGAAGAGGCACATGAAGATGTCACCATCACAATTAACTTATACGAAATGCCAAAAGATATGCTACTAGTTGCATGGTCTTTGCATTTAGCTGAAAATGGGCTTGTTTCTTATCCTGTGATTCAGGGAAAAGTAAAGATGTCACAAATTCAAATTTTACAATTGACTGACAAATCTCAAGTGGCTATCTCTGATTTTGCAAGAGCCAGTATCAGAGTAATTGATAGCTTGGAGTCAACACATTACCACCTTTACAATGGTAACATAGAAATGGCAACAAAAATTTATGCCTCTGTAGCAAAAGAAGCTGAAGAAATGGCTGAAACAGCAAGGACTCTTTTGAGAAAGTATGATGAAGAAGTTCAAAAGTTGAAAGACATTTTAAATGAAACATATAACACAAAGCAAGAAAATTTGAAGAAGAAGACAGATTCAGAGGTTGAAAAGGGAAAATTATCATCTGATATCAAGAAATTGGAGGAACTCAAAAATCAAGCACATAAGAAATTTGTAGAAATGGAGTCATTGTTTAATGAGGCAAAGCAAAGTGAAAAGGATGCCCTAGAAGATGAAAATTTATTCATGAAGTTTATAAATGGCATAACTAGCTGGTTTTTTTCAAGGTATGATTTTTTGTACATGGAACAAAATAAAGATGCTGCAATTGCTTTTCAAGCAGCAAAGTTTAAATACTTTGAGGAAATGGAAAAAGTAAGAGATGCTAAGAGTGCTCTTATAGCAAACATTGCTGAACTTACCCAAAATATGTCAAATATAGGTGATGTGCAGAAACTGGCTGATGAAGCTATTGAGTCTCTTCAGAGTGTAATTGGTTGGTTGACCAGTGTTGTAGCAGACTTTTCTAACATAGCAAAATTTTGGGATGAAATGAGAGGACATCTAAATGATTTGCAAAAGGAAGAACAATTGAAAAATGCTCTGTCCCTTAAAGATGAAAATGAAAGAGAAAGAATCCTTGATTCTAATGACTTTAAGAAGGCTCTTTTGAATCATTTTGCCAAGTGGATTGCAATGCATGAGATGACAAAATTTTTTCGCCACATAATGAAACCTGTCAGAGATGAATTAGCAAATATAGTGAGAGGAAATTTGAATGAAGAGGAGTCGAGAGAGAATATGAAGAGAATAAATCAAGAGCTGTTTGCTGAAGAAGCAAGGAGGCGCAAAAGAATAAAAGCAATGAAAAGAAACGAACCTCGAGATGAACTTTAAGCTCTCAAGAGAACTAACTAAACATTATAACTGACTATAGAATTACATAGGATATAGCATTAGATAGGATTGTTTGCTTTTAGTTTTTTTCAAATAGGCACAATTAAAATTTGAATTACTGTACTTAAAAAGTTAAAATTTAATCAGCAGTTTAATAGTTTGGGCGTGGCCCTTTTATCCACACCCACGAAACGTAGATATTAGAGTAGATATTAGAGTACAATGAATGAGGATGAGGATCGAGGAGGCATTCTTCAGTAAAGATATTTCATCAAGAGGAAGCTTGAAATCAACTTTCGGTTGCTCATATAGATCACGTGATAAAGGTAGCTATGGTGACGAGACATGCCCCTCCCACTACAGATGAGAGCAGACAGACCGAGCATCATCACAGCAGCCAGAGGAGAGATGACGAGGGTAGACACCATGGTCGATTGGTCGAACACAAATCAAAGAGAAAGAGTGGATACCAGCACTGATGGGTTGTCGTCGTGTGGAGTGTTATGAATGGTTGAATAGGATTGAGGAGGGGACTTCTGTTGTAGTTTTTAGAGCTAGGGACATCAGAACAGGTGAGTGGGAGGGGATTATCAGGTAAGATTCTACCTACAATGTATATTCTGTTTGAAATTAAAGTTAGGATTGCTAGCCATAAACCCTGTACTAAGTACAGTGTATTTTGTCAAGAGAGGGTGTTTTAATTTGTATAATTTTGTCTGGTGTTTACCAACTTTTAAAGGTTACTCAAAAATCAGGCCAAAGTCCCTTTATAGTACAGGGACTTTGACCAAGTTTTGCCAAAAATGAAAAGGAGAGAATTCACCATTAAAATTTTTTTCAAATACATATACATGTTTTTACGTTTTGTAGAAAGTTTGAACTAAGTCCGATCATAGTTGGATTTTTTACGAATTTTTAAAGCTGCTTAAAAATTGGGCCAAAGTTCCTGTACTATAGTACAGGGTTGTTGGCCAACTTTCACCAATAATGACTTGGTGAGAATTCTCCATTTTTATTAAATTTTCTAAAGCACAATGCTTTTATGTTGTGTAAAAAGTTTCAACTGATTTCAATCATAATTGGATTTTTTTACAAATTTTTAAAGTTGCCCAAAAATTGGGTGGCCAAATCTTATTAAAGATGGCAAGGAGAGATTTCTCTATTTTTGTTACATTTTTCAATTAATTTTTATATTATGAGTGGAGATCAGATACATGTTGTGGTACATACATGTACATGTTTTATACACACATGTACATGTTCATTTACAATAAATGTACTTTGGGATTGGTTGCATTATTCTCTCCTCTCTCTTTTTCTTCTCATAAAGATGAGACAGTTGCTCCGAAGAAGTTAAAGATGGGAAATGTTTCCTATTACATCACTAACTGAGATCAGTACTTTACAGTATGTTCCCAATGTGGCCTGCTAAGAGTGAAACGACTAAGAAATCAGTGAGACCAAAGAGTCCAACAGCACCTGAAGGAGGAGCATTCTTTTTTAACCAAAAAGTATTTTAATAATTAATAAATTAGAATTGGCTGAAGCCTTGCAATAGCATAAGGACATTCATTATGTTTAAGAAAATGTGTTTCATGCTGGCAAAAGTAATGCATTTTGATGTGCATTAATCATATTCACAGTCTAGAGTGGTTTCAAATTAATGTGCATCAATGCACATTACTCCCAGAGGTCAATTGATGTGAAATGATACATACATGTAATTCAGCTGCTAGTGTGAACAAGATCAATGCGCATTATTTTAGCTGCATCAACAAAGTAGAGTTGTACCGATTACCGATAAAATAATCGGAATCTGCAGATATATGCCATTTTTTATCGAATCTGAATCAGTTAAGTTCATTGCAGATTATTATAACTATTAATAATTAATAATGAAAGTTATTAACTGCAGCATATGATCCAAAATGTCCAAAAAGAAGGTTGCCAATATGGCAGTACTTCACTTGTTAGCAAAGAAGCTACATTTAAATTAGCAATTGCAACTCTACAACAAAGCACATCAAACTTGATCAAAGTGCTTCAAAAATTATGCCAGTGTGAAAAGGTCTTGTATGCACATGTATGATACAAAATGTGATTATTTTAGTGGTTGTTATTTAATTTTTAATTATTTTTATTTGGTATTAGGGTAAAGATGGTGAAGACAAGAAGTTTCAGTTACCAGATTCACAACCAGGGAAAGCTAGATTTACTTTAAAATTCTAACTTTGCTCCTTACTCTCTCACCTCTCTTCTTTTATAATTTTTTTGTTAAAGAACAATTGAGATGTAAGTTGGACACAAATAGGGCCTCGCATAACCAGACTCTAATTTACCGAATAAGAGTCTGGTGTCACACCTACCCACCTACTTAAATTACAAAAGGGGTGAGTCTGGCTGTGCAAGACTAGGGTAGGTTACGGTAGACAATAAAAATCAAGTAATAAGTTAACAAAAAAGAATTTAACAGTTATATATGTATAACAAGTTATTAAACAAGCTGGACAAACCTACATCATCACACCCATTCCCTGATTTGACCAATAGCTGGGCTATGAGGCTCTAGCTAATAGTTATAATGTAACTGGTGCCATCAAAAAAATTCCTAATGTAATGTGAGAGGTATTCACTAATATTCCTTTTACCAAATGAAATTCATTATGTTATTGACCACATTTTAGTTCATATTTCAGCCTTTTATATCGAGTATATTCATTATAAGCTTACCCACCCTTTGTACTTTCACTGTATATACATGTACATGTTTGTGGGATATTACCTTAGACTGGTGTCTCTTTTTTCAATTCATTGTGGTATAGTATATGCACACCCAAGTTTATTTACTACACTACATGTACCCACCTTTTGCACTTTTATGTCATGTGGTTCATTCTTATTTGTTAGACAATCCATAATAACAAGATGTCCTGATAATCATAATTAATAATCAAAGATAGCAAGAATAGTGATAAAGGAGAAAGTCAGAAAACCCTAAGAATATTAGTTAGCTACAAACAATTATAAATGGAACTACAGCAGACTAGATAAAGAAATCATTAACATCAATTGTAATTTTAGAGTTCATCTTTTTTCATTTTGTTTTGAGCATCTTCAATAGCTTCTATTGGCTTTACTTCACTGAGGAAATACCTGCTAGCTTTACTAAGGGAGAGCCATTGAGCATAGAGTGTGATTGCTTGTTTTTGGAACAAAGGAGTTGCCACTACTGCTTTATCTGTAACTCTCTTCTTTAGATCAACGCAGTTGTTGCTTACATCTTCCCATGCTGTACTGACGGTCTGAAGTGTAACTGTAAGACCGTTGTAATTACTAATAATGTCCTGAAGACCTTGAGCTGTACTCTCA